CCACTGACATGTAAACTTTTACAACTTTTTAAAGACTTTAGCAAATAATCACATACTCGACCACTGATCGAGAGATCCTGAGAGCCAATGCACTACTCATATTTTACTACTACTAATAAATTTAAAATAAAGCCCTTAAATCCTTAGTTGATGTGTATTTACTTTTACTCCATGTAAAACAATGCCTTTTAAATACTAGTATAGTCAGTACTTCTTAAGCTTTAACGTGAATTGAGTCAGCTGGGATCTTGTTAACCGCAGATCCAGATTCAGGAGCCTGGGAGAGGCCTGACCGTCTGTGTTTCTGTAATGCACTGCGGCAGGGACGGCTGGCCTGTGGGTGGTTAGAGCCATGCTAGTCTGTGTTCTCTGAGTGTGCCTGTCCTTGAACTTGAAAAGCCCAAATCAGCATTTTCCACTCCTCCCTGACCCTACCCCTCAAAAATACATAAAATGATAATACTAATTCACTCCTGTGTGAAAACCTGGCTTTCTTTTGTCTCTGTGTGACAAGTCTCTATCGCGGACAGACACACAATATGGGCTAAAGTGGCTTTTGAAAAAAGTCAGACATGGCGAGAAGCAGAAACATCGTTTGCTTTGGGGAAAGAAGTCCAGACAATGATTAGGTTGCATCTAAGTCCCTGAAAATGGCTAAGATCAGGAAACGGACGAGGGTCTCCTGTGCTCTCTGGCTGTAGCCCACACATCAAACTTGATCCCTTCCCTTCTCCCTTCACCCCCAGCTTCCGCTACTGAGTGCAATGGCAGCACACCCAAATCAACGATTAAATTCCCCCTTTGTTTGTGTGGCAGATGACAAATGCATGGAGGACATCTTGTGTTTCCTAGGCAGGCAGGGCACTTACTTTGATGGATGCTGCGTTGTGGAAAAAAATGAGCTGGGAAGGAATTACAATGGAGGGCCTGCAGACTGGAAGGGAATATTACTAATTAGTCCTGCATTAAGCAGTCGGCTTGCATTGGTGATGAGACGCCTTCAGGAGGAAAGTGTAGGGTTTATTGATGCAAAACAGCATGGAATGCATTATGCCAGGTAGCTGTGCATTAGTTTTGTTAGGAAGTATAGAATTTAGTAATTAAGAAAGAAATACTTAGGCTGCTGTAACACCTCCAAATATATTGGGCAGACCATGCTTTTTAACTCTACACGGTCATTTAGACAAGCTGGAAGTCCTGCTCCCATTTGGAAAGAACCCTCTCAGTTTCCTCATCCCTCAGGGCCCCAGGGAGGGAGAGCTTCCTCCTCTCCATAGTGTCTGGCTTCTTTTCTCTCCAGTCCCACAGCTCCGGAGCCCTGGGCCTGGAGGAAGTCTCCCTTCAGGCCACTCTTTCCAGGTTTTAGAGAGTTGTTGTTGGTTTGACCAGGGGAGAACCGCAGGGCCATGTCAAGATACATTCAACATCTTCTGTGGACAAAAGGCTGGGTTAGAAGGTACATGGAGAGCTTCTTGTCTGGTTTAGCATTTGTGGTGTGCTCATCTATTTCCCAGGCTGCTGGTAGAGGTGGAGGAGTAGATAGCTATGCTACTCCGTTCACATGGAACAGTGACACTGATGCTCTGGGTAACTGGAACGTGCCACTCCAGGTGACAAGACTAGACAGGACTAGTCATCTCGTGGTCAATATCTCCCTAGCAAGGGAGAGCTGGAGGGAGATAGGCAAAGATGCTCAAATAATTGGTGATCTGAATGGTTTAATATTCAAACCTTGGCATGTGGATTTGGTCAGTTTGGCCTAAAGAATTGATGAGATGGGCTCAATGACTTCAGTGAGGTGACAAAAAAGAAAAAAATCCTAGGAGTGTGAAAAAAAGAGGACCTAAAACTCCTTTGGTTTCAGAATACCAGTATCATTTCACTAACTCACTAACGCACAGATAATGTGATTTTTCGTGATTCTCTATGTTGAAACACACTGAACTATCAGGCGTCTCCTGCTAACCTAATGGGAGAGTAGATGGTTCAAAGTTCTTGGTTCAATTTATCCGAGTTGTCAAATGCTGGTGCAGCTGAGGTTTCCTTTTACTTTTCTTATTCTAGAGACAAGTGCACCTAAGGATTTGCAGCTGCCTATGCCAGGAAAAAAGAGATATGTGATAAAGACAGCGTTTTGAGTTATTTAAGTCTACTGAGTCTTTTTTCAAAATCTTATCCATAAACTGGAGCACAAGACAGATATCAAAGTATCAGAAATATCATCAGACAGCTAAAAACTGTCTTTCACGGGCAGCACCAGGAATTGTGCCAATAGCTCTAGGAAGAAAAGCTAAATAGTTAATGTGGTTTATTTTTTAACCATGCCTTTGTTTTAGAATTCAGTCTTATTCTTGAGCTGATTCAGTGTCATCATGACCTTCTCCGGCCAAGAAGGCACAGCGGAGGCATCTTCAGGAACAGCCTAGGGCTGTGGACAAGGGAGACGCTTGCTGGCTCTTTGCCTTTTTCCCCAATGTTTACACGACCAGACCGAGACTTATTACATGCCCTGTCATTTTGTTACTGGGCTGGCTTTAGTTAGAGAATTAGGTAAACATGGGACATTCCATCACACAATTTTAGACTCAATCTTACTTTATAATGATGCTAATGTGTATTGTACAAGGCACGATGCATTTGTATATTTTAGCATTTTTATTTTGGTCACAGAATGCAAAACCTGACATTGGCATTAGTTTGGTGTGTGTGTGTGTGTGTGTGTGTGTGTGTGTGTGTGTTTGAAGATATTAAGCTCTATAAGAGCGATGAAATTTCAATCTGATTAGGATCAAAATTCTTCAGGATCAAAACACTCCTTTTTCTCCCCCTACAGTTTTACTAATTGTGTGCTACTTGACATTGTGGAGTTATTCCACAGCATGATAGCTAAATATGTGCAGTGTATTTTACTGTGCAGAATTATCAGCTCATTCTATTTGTTTTTCATGTGTTTAAGGTTATTAAAAGAATTTTAAATTAGAAGTCATGTGTACGAGTTGAAAGAGTGAACTCAATCATTGTTAGTAGGCTAAATCATAAAGCAATAGCCAGTATGTCAATATCAAGTAATGAAAAAAAAAATCAGGGAATTTGAAAGCATACCGTCTCTGTTTATTACCTGGCAAGATACCAGAAAAATTAGGAGACTACCACAATAGTGAATGGCAGAGTTGTTTATTTTCAGCGCTTTCAAATTATTCTGGATACTTAAAATGAGAAAAAGTAGATCGGAAAGAATGGCATCAAATATATTTTGTCGGAGACCTTTGCTTTATGGGAAGGAATGAACTGCCCTCGCCCACTATACTTGAGGAATTGTGTTTCTTCAAGCTGTAAATCAAATCCCAGAGAGAAAGCACGATGTTTTCCAAATAATAACCAAGGATGACAAAGTTCTTTTTTTTTTTTTGTCAGTGTCAGGTTTATGAATTTAGACCTCAATTAAGATTCTCAAAGGAAAAAACACCACTCTCTCCCTACCACAGTGTCCTACAAACAATATTCATTTTAAAAGTCTGGCTCTCTGGCCTATATTGGTGTAAAAATATACCTACATACCTTCAGCTTCCTCTAAAGATTCTGATTTTTTCTCCATTTTCTCTAAATCCCCAGCTACAAAAACCCTGGGTGTTTCCTTTCAGGAAACAGCATCATTCCTCCTCCCTCCCTCCAATTAACCGAAAAGCCTCTGCTTCTACAATTCACACGCCCCATTCATCCACAGCAACAGCATGTCCCCTCAGTCCCTGGTGTGCTATCCTAGGCACACACTTGGTGCAGACTGCTGGAGAGCAGGCTTTTCCCAGAGACAAGCTACCGACAAAACTTGACACTGAACTTGGTCCCAGGCCATTGTTGCCAATTCAGGGTTAAAACCACAGAACGAGACGCTCCCACTCTGAGACTTTGCTAGACTTTTGTCTCTCCATCATCCTTTTGAAGATCTGAGTTTGAAAGGAGTGAACAACTGCTGTCCTTGCTGTGGCGAGAAAGGGGGGAGGGGGCTAGGGAGGCAGAAGGAAGTGCAAAGGCCACCTGGCTGCTTTTACTACAAAAAGCTTCACTTTCAAGCTCATCTGTGGTGCCTTGCGGGTGTTTAAAAGCAGCGTTCAGGGTTTTAAACTTCCAGGAAGGAAGCTGGGAGGCCCTCCTCTTCTAGGAGGAGAACATGGGAAGGCCACTAAAAGGGCCCTGGTTGGAAGGAGACGGTCCCTTCCCAAGAGCTCTCCCGGTCAGTGCCTGTCGCCTGGGGGATGGGCAGACCCCACGCACACACAGTACCCGGCCCAGCTGGTTCTGATGAGGGAAAACGCCAGGAGGATGCTGGTGTGCAGGTCACTAGATGGACCCAGCCGGGGAACTGCTGTCCTGCTTTGCTTAAACGCAACAAAGGGTGCCTTGGAGGTCAGCCTGCAGGTCAGGAGCAGGGAACTGGACTCAAAGGGCTGAAATTCGGGAGATGGAGCCTCCTGCTCCTCTGAATCACCCTCTTTCCAGAAACACACCAAGGAGACCCTGCCTTTGAGGGCTGCGCTGGCCCGGCCACGTGCTCCGCCCCTGCTCCCCGGGCTTCCCCTCACCCTGGCGCTGTGGCTGGTCCGCTGGGCATTTTATAGGCTCTGGCCTGTTTGACCTTGTCTCCTCCCTTGTACATTTTGAAACAGACACTACACATTTCAGAGTGGAAAGTCACTCCCTAGAAAATGAAGGGGTCAAGAAAGCACTTAAGACAAAGGTTCTGTCATTGCTTCAGGGGAGAGAAAGCACAGGAGACCATGAAATCCCAGGTGAGTGCCTAAAGACCCAGCCATTTCTCTGGGCCCGAGGTGCGACTTTCAATCTCATTCCAACACAAGTTGAAGTGATTTATGTCTCACTTTTTCTCACCGCACGCTGACAGTCCTCTCGGAGGTACACAGGAAGAAACCCGCACTGAAGCCAAACAGGAACCAGAGACAAGCCCGCCAGCTTGTGCCCATGCCCACACGAGAGGTACTTACAGTCCAGGTGGCTGTGCCGGATGCCTTCCACGTCCTCCGCGTGGATGAAGTGGTAGCATCTCTTCCCCACAATGTCTACCGGGGTCAGATCCATGTAATCGCTGATCCTGCAATAAGAACAACAGACTGGGATTCAGAAGGGGAGAAATATAGAAACTGTCAGATGTCTCAGAAATGAACCTACTGGCGATTTTCATTATCCCAGGGTACCTGCGAGCATTTAGCCTTTGGAGGGAAAACCCTTTATACATAAGGTTATTTTCTTTAACGAATAACAGACTTTTTCTAAACTAGAAGATGTGCTAGATCAAGCAATTGTGTTTAAATAATTAGAGAGGTTCTTTCTCCTCTTCTTCTTCTTCTTCTTCTTCTTCTTCTTCTTCTTCTTCTTCTTCTTCTTCTTTTTCTTCTTCTTCTTCTTCTTCTTCTTCTTCTTCTTCTTCTTCTTCTTCTTCTTCTTCTTCTTCTTCTTCTTCTTATCAGAATACACAGTTAGACAACATAATTCCATGGAATTATTGAGAATCAGGAACAATGGAAGATTCTCATTAGAGGCCAAGATAGTTCAAGGTTACTTAGTAAATTTGAAACATGTTATGTTTATACCAAATGATTAGAGATATCTTTCATTTTAACAGATTGGCCTTCTATTGGGTATTTCCATGAAAAAGGGCTTCAGCTGCTTCTTGGCACAAAGTCCAAATTGGCATTTCAAGGGATGGAATTTGAATGCGGAGACACACAGATGCCTGGGGGTGTTATCTTTTTTAGTCTTAGTCATCTGGGAACCCGGCTCTCACTCCTGGCCTTTTAACTGGCACTTTTTGGTGGCGTCCACACGGAAACTTTAAACCGTGTCAGCGGCTCTGCCAGCCTTGTGCGCAGCACTGCATGTGTGTGAGCCGGTGCCATTTGATTGTCCAGACGTCAGTGTCCTTGGGCAGGAGCGCGGGAAAAGGGCACAAAATTGGAAAACACGTTGGGAGAAGCTGCCTGGTTTACACAGACATGTCAGAATGCTTATTATCCTCCTCCCTTCCCAAGTGCAGGCTCATTCTGGTCAGTCCAAACTAAAATACGCCTTCTGTTTACTTCATTCCCTTTCTTGTCCCTGCTTGTTTTGTGGTCTGTGACTTCTAATGTATTCAAATACGAAGCGAGTCTTTAGAAATGACATGTTTAAGAAACTCATGAGATCACTGCTGGGGAGTTAACTCTGACTCCCGAGGCAGGGAAATAAGAAATAAAACAAAAAACAGAATAATATGGAGTATAATTAAAACATGCTACACAGTGAGTGAATGTCTAAATGTCTAGCAATATAAATCCTAGTTGGCAAACGTAGAATTCTTGGCAAGGTAAGACTAAATGGGTTGATAAAAAGGAGTATTTCCTCAGGATTCCACGGTTTTCTGGTACAAAACAGATTAGTTGGTGTTTTCCTGAAACCATTAGCTGCTTTCCCTGCACTCTTTACACCTCCTTTCTGCAAATGAGGGGAACAAGGATGTCATTAAGAGGCCCTCACTGGTGTTTCTGAAGTTTGCCAGCTCCTCTGAAAGCATTAGATGTCAGCTTTGCCGGAGGCTGTCCGGGGAACCCCGGGGAACAGGGCTGGGGGGTGAAGGGGGTGGTCTGCAGAGTTAGGGATTGGCTTTAGTTTCTAGTTAGCAATCCCCTAATTAAACAACAAACCCAGGGAAAAATCCACTTCATTCTTTAGGGAAGACATCTCTTTAGTTTATTTTTTATTTGAATGAAATTCTCCCAAACAATAGAACCACTTCTTGGTACCAGAGCCTGGGACTGAGGTGACGGTGACCGGCTCAGTGTTCAGGGACCTCTTACTCTGTGTAGTGGGAGCCCCAGAACAGTCTGACGATCTCTATGAGAACCAGAACCCCCTGGCACCTTGCACTCTGAGCCTCAGTTTCCTCACCTGTAAAATAGCTCAGAGCTTGGTAAGGGGATGAATGAATGAAATGGACATAGCATTGCACCAAACACACATTTGCACCAGAATACAAGATGCAATAGCAGAAGGCAGCTGTCAGTATGCTTCTCCTGTAGGTAAAATACACAATTACCTCCACATTAGTCTTTTTAATAATTACTAGCATCTTCAGTCAGGAAATAATGCTTTATTGTATTGGCTAATAAGGGGTTGTAGAAAACTTTATTTAAATGTGAAGAAAAAATAGCTTAAAGTGGTTACAGAATGTAATCTCAATGACTAGAGTGGCACCATAAGGCACTTGGTTCCGTGGAACATGTCAAAAGAATTAGTCTGTGATCTCATGAAAATTAAGTGCTAGTTTTGGGATAGGACAATCACTGGGTAAATGTTAGGTAAATAAGACAAGACACTCCCCTGCCCCTTGTTTTTAGGAATTGGTGTTGATAATCTAAATCAAGGGAGCTGACCTATATTTCCAAAGAAGAAATACCGTGGTTCATCCTTCGACTTTCTGCCTCCTGGGTCTCCAGCATTGTACATTTTAAACCAGGATAAACAGCTCTATGGGCTGCGGCTGTTTTTCTGTGGGTGCACATGTGTGAAAGGTCTACCTAGGCCAGTGGTTGGCAAACTCACTAGTCAACAGAGCCAAATATCAACAGCACAATGATTGAAATTTCTTTTGAGAGCCCAAATTTTTAAACTTAAACTTCTTTTAACGCCACTTCTTCAAAATAGACTTGCCCAGGCCGTGGTATTTTGTGGAAGAGCCACACTCAAGGGCCACAGAGCTGCTTGTGGCTCATAAGTCACAGTTTGCCGACCATGGACCTAGGCAGTTATTATGACCAATTCCTTACCATCTCGCCTGACTTCTGAGGAAAATAAGAGACAGGGAATGCATGAGGGCCCCACAGGTTGGAGCTAAGTGCGAGGTTTTTGAGTCTGTCAGATTTGGATTTAAATCTTGGCCTCAGGTAAGCCACTTACCTTTCTCTTTCACCTGAAATCACCTGAGGGGGATTGAGACAATGGCAAGACCTGCCTCACAGAACTGTCTAGAAACTTGAGTTAGATGGCACAGCCAGGGTGGGGCAAAAAGTAGGCTTACAGTTGTTCAGATGGAAAATAATACAATAATTAATAAAGAATAATACAAGAATAAACTGTTTCATGTACTCACAGCTACAAACCTACTTTTGTCCCCAATTTCCTTATAATGAGTTCTGCACATTGCCAAGTGTGTGTAAGTGTTCAGTGTTAGACATCTTTATTATTACTTGCCAACTCTAGCCAATCATTTGGCTAAATACCCTTCCTGATTTCCTATGACCATTCCAGAATACCTTAGATATAGCTAACTATACAGTTAAGATGATACAATTTTTACTAAATGCCACCAAAAACTTAAAAAATAGATTTAGAGTTACTTATTAAATAACTAGAGGCCCGGTGCATGAAATTCTTGTACTGGAGGGAGGGATCTCACAGCCTGGCCTGCCCTTTCTCACAGTCTAGGAGTCGTCAGTGGATGTCCTACTGACAGCTTAGGTACACTACCCACCAGGAGCGGGCCTAGGCCACAGTCTGGCCACAGCCTCCCGCTGCAGGAGGTGACTAGCCTATCAGGGGAAGACACAGCCCCATTACCCCCTCACTGCTGCTGCCTCTGGCCTTCCTCTGTGGAGGCAACCCTGCAATCAGGGGAAGGCAACACCCTCATCATGCCTCTGTTGCTGCCACTGCTGGCAGTGAGGTTGCCTGAGCCTCAGCCATCACAGCCTCTGCAGCTTGCTTGAGTATTGTCTGGCCCTCATTGCCTGAGCCTTGGGCCCTCTCAGCGGCAGTGGCCATTGGTGGCTCGCCAGAGCTCCAAGGCCAGCCCCGGGCAAGTGGCAGCGGCTATTGGGAGCGCTCACAGCTGCTGCCACCATGTGGGGAGTACAGGCCACCCTCCACTGGACCCTGCCTCCCCTGCCCTCATCCCAAACACTGCAAGTCCCCGCCCACACCTGTGCACACAACCTGCTGATCAGTCATTATGTGAAGGTATCCTGACCAATTTGCATATTACCCTGTTATTAGATAGGTAGTGCCTATTTCATGATATCTTCTACCCCACTGAACATTAAGAATCAGGGGGCTATCTTTCCCATTAGTGAATTCTTTTCTCTGAATCCAATCCTGCCTGGAAATGGTTGGCATTTCTAACTCAGCTGCAGCACCTTTCACTTCCCGATGGACTGAATGCCTCTTGGCTTGGCCATGAAGAGGTCAATTACCAAGCCACTTGGCCATTCTGCTTTTTACTTTCTTCTTCTTTTTTTTAAATTTATTTATTGATTTTTTTTTTTTTTTTTTTTTTTTTTTTTTTTTTACAGAGAGGATAGAGAGTTAGAAACACCGATGAGAGAGAAACATCAATCAGCTGCCTCCTGCACACCCCTTACTGGGGATGTGCCCGCAACCAAGGTACATGCCCTTGACGGGAATCAAACCTGGGACCTTTCAGTCCTTAGGCTGACGCTCTATCCACTGAGCCAAACTGGTTAGGGCCATTCTGCTTTTTCATTTTTCCTCCATAGGAACTCACAGGGCTCAGTGAGCATGTACTGTATCCATGGCTGATGACACTGAGCCACAATAGCTTCTTCTCCAAAATGACTCTGTATTCTCATAGCGCTGGGGAGAGACAGCATCACCACAGCTCCCTCAGCAGCCCCTGCACTGCTCCTTTCCCTGCTCCCCTCATCCCAGCAACCTCTTCTCTTTAAATTAGTCCGAGGGCTTCTGACTTCTAGGTGAAAGGTCTGAAGGGGCATTTCCCATTTCTGTGTCCCTCGCTTTGTGCTTAATGGAAAAAGTGAACTTTTAACCAAAGGCCAAGAAATCCTTTTATAAAAGTTCAATCCTGAGGAAGGACCGGCACATCATTCACACAATGAGTCATCTTATTTTTTAGTTTATGAAAGTGAAAATTACAAATTTTATTTACTCTATGTGTAGAGAGCCCAGACCAGTCTGATGATGACCTATATCAGGATCAAGTGTTTGGTCCTTTTTTCCTCTAGGGGGCTCTGATTCTCATTGGTTCCGTATATGTACTATGGACTAAATGTGTCTTCCCCCAAATTCCTATATTACAGCCCTTACCCTCCATGTGATGGTATTAGGAGGCAGGACCCTTGGTTTGGATGAGGTTTGGAAGAGTTCATGGGGATAGAGCCCTGCGATGGAATGCGAGTCCTTACATAGAGGAGAGCCCTCAGCTCTCGGTCTCTGTGCGTGAGGACAGCAGAAGGCAGCCTTCGGTAAGCCAGGAAGAGGGCTCTCCCCGGGAATCTCACCAGCCTGCACTTTGACCTTGGACTTCCCAGCCTCCAGAACTGTGAGAAATGCCTGTCTGTTGTTTAGGCCACCGGTCTGTGGTGATTTGTTGTAGCAGCCTCAGCCTGAGCTGACGAAGGCAACATGCTTAATGCCTGCCCACGTGAACACTGACCATCAGGAGTCAGGAAGAGGGTCTGGCGAAGGCATCACTCCTGATCACCCTGTACTGCATCATTTTCCCAGTAATGTCTCAGTCTTGCTCTCTCCTTGGATCTTTGGGCAAAATGGGTGTTAATTATAGCACATAGATGCCTAGGTATCCCAATCCATCCCATTGTTATCCCCAATGCAAATCAGGGCAGCAATGTACATTTTAAATTAAAACACACACACACATGTTTGGTATCAGTCCAAGCATCCGTTAAAAATAAGATCGGGATTGATAATGAGCCTCCCTGGGAAAGCAGAACCCTGCAGCCTGCTGACAACACCAACCCTCACCAATGTGCAACATACAGCAGGGCAAACGGAAACAAAAACCAAGTACCTATTTTCACAGTAAATGATATTGAGGTCCATATTTACTCGAGTGACGAACATATGGCAGTCGATTCTGACTTCGTTGATTGTAGGCGGAGGCAGGGCGTGCGCCACGACTACGAGGCCCATGATCTGGCTGGGGATGGTCCTCCCGTGGGACAGGGACACCCGCAGGCGGAGCCGGCCTGTGATGTGGATCACCTGGAACAGAGCAGTGAGGACAGGACACGGTCACATTCACATCTGGGATGGAAGAGGAACAGTGCTTCTTTGGAGAAATGTGAAATTACACCTGGCACAGCCAATAGTAGCTTTTACCCTCTGCAATCAGAATGGCTGTCGAAGAGCCTCCGTGTCCTCAAGGCAGGCGGCAATAGAGAAATAGTATACTCTGAGCGTGTCCCAAGGCAGCATTATTATTATCTATGCTGTTGCTACTTCTCAGGCACTTTTTTTAAGATTTAGAGGAAGTTCTTCAACCAGCTAAATGACCAGAAAGTTGAGCACTGAGCTGCGAAGGAAACATTTGCACCATCAGCCCTTGTTCATGGATGATGTCTCTTTCTCTCCAGATCCACACCGAGTAGGATTACATGGCCAACCCCTTTCAGAAGTGTGGCTCAAATGAAGGAGTTGATATTGCAAAAGGCCAAAGACTCCATGAATAAAAGAGTCGGTGGGGATGACATGAATGCACCCTTTCTGAGCACAGAAATCTGCAGGCGATACTGAATAAGCAGTAATACTGTGATGTACTGCCGTGCCCATAAGGCTGAAGGTGGGAAGATTTGGGCCTTCTTTCCTTCCTTATTTCTTGACCTCCTCCTGACGAAGGGTGAGGGAGACCCACACCATTTAGGGGGCTCCTTTTGGTCACTTATGCAGAAACAGGAAGGAGAATACCGGGCTATGATTTTCACTTTGTTAGCCCAAATACGCACTCGGTAGCCCAGGCCACTAGAACCAAACGAAAGGCATCTCTTGAAAAAGTTCCTTTGCTTCTCAGCTGTATGTAGAAGAGCCAAAACGTTAACTTCATTAAATGATGTTTTGGGGAATCAAAATCATGAAAGGATGGAAAGTGGAAAGGATCTATGTGGCTGTGCTTTGGAATGATGGAAGCTGTGTGTGTGTGTGTGTGTGTGTGTGTGTGTGTGTGTGTGTTCTAGCTGTGTCCCCAGGACTTTGCTGCAGTGTGCAGCGTGGTCTTCTAGAGCCAGGGCGTGGAGGCCATCGCTGCGATGCACTGGACCCGGAACTCAGGGCAGTGGCGAACCAAGCTTCACAGGTGGTTTGCCTTTCCAAGTGCATCCCTTTAGAGATATTCCTTTTCCCTCTTTGCCATAAGGCAGTGGTTGGCAAACTCTTATTCAACAGTGCCAAATATCAACAGTGGAATGATTGAAATTTCTTTTGAGAGCCAATTTTTTTAAACTTAAACTTCTTCTAATGCCACTTCTTCAAAATAGACTCACCCAAGACGTGGTATTTTGCGGAAGAGCCACACGTGGCTCACGAGCTGCAGTTTGCCAACCATGGCCATAAGGAACCGAGGTGGGAAGCGGTTTCTGGACTCCCAGGAGCACTAAGACCTAGCGGCTGCTCTCCTTCCCAGGGGCTTGACTGGTAATTCCTTTCTCATTTTGTTTTTGTTTCCCTTAAGTTATTCAGTTTCCCGAAGCCAGCCACACTGCTGTCAGTCAGGACCAGGATCCAAGCCGCCGGCTGCCCTGCGAGTCCTGGCTGCTCTGCATCCCCCCTCTTCCCCGTCCCCCTCCACGTGGCGCCCAGAGCCGCCCATCTGGAAACGCCAATGAAGAGGATTATTTAGGTTTTTTCAGGAGCAGTTTTTCGATCACCCACATTTGAAGTTAACTAAATTCATATTTAATGCACCTTTGCTTTAAGCTTTGGTCGGATGAGCTACTTTATGAATACTTGAAAATGTACCCAGAGGCAAAGATGCTAACACATCATCACAGACACATTTTTTTTTGGCAAGTCCTCATTAGCTAATAAAGAAATAGCTAAAAGAATCTGATTAACTTCACAGGAGGGGTGTCAACAGTTCCTGGTCCTCCTCCCAGCCAGGCGTAAGTAGGTGCTCATTTATCATTATCTGTCTTGCCCTATCAGGAACACTCAGCTTCTTGGAAAAACACAGATCTATAAATGCTCAGGAAATCACACCCTCAGAAATGGTATGCTAAGTAAATCCCCGCTTGGTGTTCTATTGGAAAGAGATTTATAGGTGTCTGGGCTAGAACACATTTTGGGGAGACAGACAGGCTACTGGGCTGAGCTGCCTGCATGTCAGATCTCCCGGGCCTCCATCTCCAGCTTTGCCGGTGGCCGCCGAGGTGTCGCTGAGGATCACAGTTGGGTCCGGTGGGGTCTAGATTTGCCATTTGCTCATTTCATTACCCTGGGCGAGTCAACTCTCTGCATCTCAGTTTCATCTTCTGTGAAATGGGCATAATCACTATTCTGCAGTTATGTTATAAAAACAAAAGGAGATAATGGAGGGCAACACTCTCTAAATTGTAAAGAAGTCTGCAAATTTCACTATGATTCTGTTGGCCTTTAAAAATATCACCTGGATAATAAGGATAAGAAGCAAGATTATTAATTTAATCTTGACCAAAAGCCTGGTAATGAATTATGAAAGTTTATGACCCTCTAAAATAATAATGTTTGGAAGAAAATTTTGGAGGGTCTATTTTAGGTCCTTTTCACTTCCATTTTTTTTTTTTAGGTGAGAAAAGAGATTCTGGAAAGTTCATTCTCCGTGTAGAGTTGCCTGACTTGGAAATGGCAAAAAAAGAGCCTAAATCCAGGTTTGTATGTCTTGTGTGTCATTTCCAATTTATCCCTGTATACATTTTTTTGTGCATATTCATATTGATTGGAACATTATGACAATCTACTGCCTTCGGTAATCTGTATATAAACCTTTAAATAACCAGAAGCTCAGGTGACTTGAAAAGTCTGAGAAACAGCACGAACTGAGAAGAAAAAGAAAGCTAAGAAACTTACTAATGTAGTAATTAAACAGTTGTCAAGAAATGTCAAAGAACAATCAGAGGGTGTGTTTGTTCATATGTGCGTCTGGGGTGCGGGAGGGTGGGGCGGAGTATGTTGGGTCACATAATTAACTTTTTGGTTTTAAATTGATATGTTTTTCCAAATCCATCTTGTGATGCCAACAGTTTCCGCCCGCCCCCCCTCCCCCCATGTGACGAGTTATGTTCAAATAACCAGGTTATGTTGAAACTGTAGAACATGTGAAACAGCACCTATCCAAACACGTTGATTGTTGTTTCACTTGGCAGTTGCTTTAAGGCAGGAGATGCAGAGGGGAGTCCGGGTTCCAGCCCGGGCTCACACCGCAGAGCACTGCGATGACTTGCTTCCAGGCTGGCGTAGTAGAGATTAGAACCTAGTCCCATGAAGAGGATACGTATTCCGTAAAGGTGTTCGTTGTTTTCTTAATAAGATCAGCAAAGGGCCTTTTATTTTACTTTTAAGTTTCTAAAACCTATTATGTACAAGGGACCTTGCTATGTGCCAGAAAGTAGATCAAGATGAATCAAATATGAACATTTCCTCAGAGTTGATGGACAACAAAGTGGGAGTAGACATATGTAATCACCTGTAGTCCAGTGACATTGGGAGATGACACAGTGACTGAGTGAGAGACTAGTTTTCCATCCTGGTTATGTGGCAGAATCACCTGTGAAGCTTTGCTAACACGTGGATTCCCAGGTTCTGTCCCTCAGGGATTCCAGTTTGTTAGGACTGGGCTGGAGTCCAGCGTTGGTTTTGAAAGCTCCAAATGTGATACGTCCTCCTGGAGAATAGGTGGCTTATGGGTTTGGAGTTACCACTGGTTCTCAGTCTGCCACACAGTGGAATACCAGGGAGTCTTAAAAGTCCCCATGTTCAAGCTGTACCTAAAACCAATTAAACAGGGACCTCTGGGTCTTATAGGGCTGCTCAGGGGATTAAGTGAAAATGTATATAAAGTGCTTATGTATGTATGTGTGTGTATTAAAAATACACTGACACACAGTATATGCTCAACAAGTACTACTTTTATTAAGTAACAACTGTGCTTCATAAGAAAGGTAAAGGATAAGGTCTTTGGAAATTCAGGGTAGCTAGAAATACTTTTAACTGAATGGATCAGGAAGGACACGTGAAAGTGGCATTTGAGTACATTGTTGCCATAAGATATGGTCATGGAATGGTGGAAGGGCTTTTTAGATTGAGAGAAGAGCGAGAACAAACGAATATAAAAGGGAACCTATTGGCACAGGAGCAATAAGTGACAACAGGGGACGAGACAGGGATGGGCCAAAATGTCAGATACAGGTAAAGCAGTAGAGATTGGCAATGGGAGCTGCTGAGGAGAGCTGGCACCATGATTTTGAGCCTGCCTCATAGAATAAGGGGGAGGAGGATGATGATGATGGTGATAATGATAGGCTAAATGACATGTGTCAAACACAAGGCCTGCGGGCCAAATCCGTCCCGCCAGGCCTTGCAATGTGGCCCGCACTGCGCTGTCATCACTGCACTCCACTGCGTTTCCATCACAATGACAGTTTATGACTGTTCAGTAAACCATTCGGCCCTCGATTTAGGCTGGATTTTAGATTTTGGCCCCTTCTCTGATTGAGTTCGACACCCCTAGGCTAAATGGTAATTGTAATACAGGAACTACCAGTGTGCGGGTATGAGAGGTATGGAGACAGATTTCCCTGTGGACCTTGAGTATTTGGGTGGAGTGGGGTGAGGGGGCCTAAACAACGTGTCCAGGGGCTAGTTGGAACAAGGACCTGCATGCTTAAGAAATGCCAGTTGAAGGTACAATTTGGATTCCTTTTTTTTTTTTTTTTTTTTGAGGTGATAGTTAAAACCAGGAAATTCAGTGATATTACTAACAAAGAAAGCAGATAAGAGAACACTAAAGGCATTTCCCCCTACTGTACTGTAAGTACCTGAAGCTTAAGGCAACTTAAGTTTTCCTCTAAGTTAAGGTTCCCTTGCTCTATAATAATTACGTTTGTCAAAAATATAAACATTTCTCAAAGCTCTAAAGTCCCCTTTTCTCCACCAATTCCATTCTGATAGAAATGCCAAATTGTTGCCTGTCGCAGTAGTAACATCCAAAAGGATGGGATGGCTTCCTTACCAAA